TTTGACTAGAAATCATAAGACATTAAAAGAGGGACTAGGAGATAAGTTTTTAACACAAGGAAATAGCTTTCTAAATTCAAATAAAAATCATGTTTTCAACACATAAAATTTCAACATATTCTAGTCATATTTTAAATCATTCAGAATAATATATTTTAAAATTCAGATCAAAGAATATCAAAAAGGGATTTTAGATAACATATTCTAGTCTAACAAGATTTTAATCCAGATAAGATTAAAGATAAACTGTAATACAGAAAATATATCATATAAAACATATATCTTTTTAACATATTTAATTCTACAATAAAAACCTTAATCATGGGTCAGAGAATATTTTGAAAACTTTAACTGATTACTTTAATACAAAAAAATTTGACATTTAAAGAATTGATACACATTTTTCAAACTATAAAACTTTCAACATTTAAAGAATCAAAATAAAAGCTAAAACTTTTAAGAAAGGTAGGGAAAACCTACCTCTTGTCAACAGGGTGTAACTCCTCGTTCTCTTGTCAACAGGGTGTAACTCCTTGTTCCTCCCGTTGCCAGGCTCGACTAGGTGAGGAACGAAGGAGAGAGAGATCCCTCCCCTTTAAATAGGAGGTGAGCCTCTATTAAGGGAAATAAATTTTAATTTTCGTATTTATTTAATATAAATTATTTCCATTTAATATACTACCAAATATGATATCATCATATTTGGAATACTTACTAGTTATTTCCTTAATTCATATCAACAAACAAGGAAGTAGATTAGGATTTCCTTAAATTATAATAACAAGTAAGGAAAGAAAATCAATTCCTAACTTAAATATTTGATGTGATTACAGTTGTAAAATGGCACTGTGTGATTGATCAACATCTCAGAGGAAGATAGTCTCTTCTCCTTCATGGATGGATAGATTTCCTTGACAATTCTACTAGGCTTGCAGTTCTAGTAGCACCACCATTTTTGGTACTCATTCCAAAGGCTGAACTTTTGGTTAAAATTGAGCATATTATATGTCTAGAATAATGCTTCTTAATTGGGAAACTAGTGTTGGACGTATCTCGATCCTTCAAAGGTTTCGTTTTTTTTTTTCGTTTAGGAAGAGCCACAGGTTGATTCTATCAACTTTCCTGTTGTAGTTCAAAAGCTTAAATTGTTTCAGACTTACAAGATGTGCTGTAAGGATTCTGGTGCCATGTAAGCTGGCATTTGACCTTGTTACAGAACACAGGTTGCATCTTCCCATTTTTCTTTCTTGAGAATTTATAGGAAGAATTGCATGTTGATTCTGTCGCAGTCAGAAGGTCAAATTATTCAATTTTACAGTAAACATATAAAATGGTTTTTTTTCACCTTTACAGTAAACATATAGATGGTTTCTGGTTTTTATATTGCCGTTGGATATGCTAGAAACAATGACTAAATTTGGCATTATTTAAGAGGCACTTTCGTTTGAAAGGCCCACATAGGTTGAAAGTTTACGAAGGGTCATCCTGTATTTTGAAGCTTTCTTTGCTCTAGTATCTTTTTGTTGGTGGGTCATGTTTGAACCTGCCCATAATAGTTAGGTCTTCGTCTCTAAGCCGAAAAGTCAGGATCTTAGCATCAGGTGAGCATTTGGTCCTGTTTGCTTCATCTATTTGTACAGAAATGCCTTGGGAAAAATGAGTACGGCAAAGTTCATTGTGTATTACTGATCATGTTTTACTAGGATAAACCATATCGGATCATCCAATCACTTAATTTTCTCTTTATCCGTGCAGTTTAACTACGACGTAAGTGTGTATGGGTTTCGAGAATTTTTCAAGCGACATGGAATGAATTTACCAGAAACCAAGTAAAGCTGCCACAGCCATTGCACCGTCATATATGTTTGATGGATTCCGAAACCTGCATGTGTAGCTCCATGGGAATTTGGATCGTAAGCCCTTTGCCTCTGAGGAGGCTTAATGGCCGAAGATGCTACATGCCTGGAAGTATCATTTTCTTAATCTTCATCAATGACCTTAAATTAACATGTTGTTGCCTTTGGGATTTTACCACGGTGCATAATCACATAAGTTTCTTTTACTTTATATATTGCAGATAAGTCCCTTTTGTGATAGCAGCTAATGGGATTAGCTTGACTACTAATTTCCTCTCTCTTTGAATTGATCTTGTGCTTTGGGTGAGTTTTAACTGGACCGAAGTGAACGAGATGACACCTTGTCTCGACCACATGTCCAACCGAATGCAGGTCGCCCCGCTTCTGAGTTCTTATATCGTATGTCCTTGCTGTTCATTTTTTATTAGTGAAATGATCGACCATTCAATAATGCAGTCTCTACCAAGGTTTTTAATGTTGGATACCATCCCATGGTGAACAAGATAGATACGGTCCAGTCCATTAGTCACTGTACGGTCAAAGATACCATTGTCATATCTGTAATTTTTCTCTCTTCAAACTTGGTTAGACAACAAATAATTATATATCTTAGTCTATATATTTTAAAAAATTATATTTGATATTTCGTTATGAAAGTAAAATATTTAATATTTCTATAGTTATAAAAGTGAAACATCTAAGTTTATTTATTTTAACATCGTTAGTTAGTTATATATATATATATATATATATATATATATATATATATATATATATATATATATATAGTGACGAATAACATTGTCGTTGAATGATAACGAAAGATGAGAGTCTTTTCATTGTCATTCTTCTCATCTATAATAATCACTTACGACGTCCAACGACATCACCGTCTGTCATCATCAATTAGAATGTTGAAATTATTTTTTTATCTTTTAAATTTATGTTTTCGTTTGTAAAACTAACAACGTTAAGATAAATGAATTTAGATGTTTCACTTTCATAACTATATGGATGCTAATATATATTTTTAAAATATAAAGATCAAAATATTAAAAATAATTAAATATAAGGAGAAATATATTAATTAGCCTCCTACAAGTTCAAATGTTATACATCATTTTCATCCTTATTGTTTTGTAACGTATAACAAAAATGCATTCACTTTATCGATATGCTTGCTCATTCACTACACCAGGATGAAGAGTGATGATAAATAAATAAAACACAATTCATGAGTTTGCTAAAAGATCACAAAAGGGTACGCTACACAATTCAAAACCAATGTACAGTGTGAATCTCATGTTTCATCCCTTCTGTAGGGCTGCTAACTAATTTATTATGTAAAGACTGCTACCGAGAGGCAATTCTCATTTGCTATCATTTACACCCACGACATGTCAGGTCCTTTGCCCATGTAGCAGCAGATGAATTATTGTATAATGCATCTGGTCTTTGTCAATTTTGTCAATTTAGAATTATTGCCGACTGCCAAGAAAAATACAAAAAAAAAAGCTCAGCATTAGAGAAACAAATGTAAACCGATCATGCTATAGCCACACAAATGCTCACGCATCCACGGAAGCCAGCCAGCCATTACTAAGGTAAATAAGTTGAACGAACCAAGTAAGCAAATAGTAAGTTTATGCAGTACCGTATTAAGAAGCCTCATGACAGCAGCACGTGTGAACTTCCTGGCAAAGAGAAAGCATGTGGATGGCTGCCCCTTGCTTCTGCACCATTCCCTCCTGTATTCGGTCTCATAATACACATTGTCTATGCCCTGCATTTGAAAGGCAGATTTGAGATTTCAGGGATTCATAAGACATGTCAGTAAACAAACTGTTAGGGCTTGGAACAACATCCACTAGCTTAGTTTAATGACATACCAGCTGACTTCAGGAAAATATTTCTCTAGTTAGGTTCAACAGATTTTACTCCATGTAGAATCGTACAGTTTCTATGCTGTTTATTTTCCAATGAGTTTATGGCCAAACTCCATATGCCATATAAGATCACTGTGCTTGCATATCCAAGACATGCTTTAGAGTATTTGACGAGTTACGTGTTCTTCTAGGAGATAGGACTTGAGGTTTGATAATTTTTATCACATAAACATCTCCGATAGCTTTCCTCCTTCCAATTAAATCTTGGACTACCCATTTTTTTATTGCAGAACACATTTTCTCGAAAGAGTAACCCTTCTAAAAGGAAATTATGCAACTAATACCTTCCATTCTTGCCATCACATGCTTGCCTCACTCCATGACTAGGCAACATTACTGGTCTATCAAGGTTGTTTATATAATTAGGATATGAACAAACAACCGAGTCTCTAATGATCCAGATTAAAGCCACCTGTCCACCGCTGGTAGAAAGTGATATCATTCCAGTTGATATGGAGGCATTACAGTCAGAAACAACCTCAATCTGAGATGTACAAGGCCAATTAGATTTATTTAATTTCCAATTAGATTCAAAGAAAAATATTATATATATAGTTCAATAAACACCACTTATTTAGTCTACTTGTATCCATCTACTCTCCTAATGAATCCAAAAAATTCTTATTCATCTAGAGACTAGATATGTCATTTTATCCTCTCCTCTTGGAAACTTCACAAGTCTTGGGTCCTTACAACAACTACAATAACAAGAAAACATTTAGTCCCAAATAGTTATTTTGGGGTTGGTTACATGGGATCCTTTGTTATCATTAAGCTCTATAAGAAGCAATAGTTAAGAGTATTTAAATTTTTTGTTTATAGTTTCTAGTAAGAATTTTTTCAATCTTAGGCCCTTATACATAAAAAACATGATATAATATATGCAACTAGATATTACTACCTATGGTCGCTCTTCAAGCAATCTAGTCTTTGCTTTGGTACTAACTGCCTATATGAACAAACACAAGAGTGACGATCAATGAAAATCTGAAAGTGGCTAGTATAGCACATACCTTTATATTTTGGATAAGAGTAGGTGTAGCATCCGAAAGCTTGTATGTGACTGGATGCCATCCTCGCCTTTCACGATCTTTGGATGAAGAAAGATCCCATAATGTATGTGTCAATGTTCTCCGTGTAATTTCTCCTTCAAGGCCCTTATGCTGGATAAAGAAATGGGAGGACTTTTAACAGGTTTAAAGTTATTGAACAAAATAAGCTCAGATGGAAATGGAATATTAACATGTGACCCAAAGACCTCAGAGCATAGGAGGAACAGCAAGGACTATCAAGCAGTATAAGACATCATTTAGGTAGAATTGTGTTAATTTCTTTGCTTGACATTTTGTAGTCGAAAGAAAAGAAATTATACTTGACAATTCTGTCAACAAAATTAAGAACTAATGTTTTCCAACCACGTAAGCCAAACTGCAAATGAGACAGCTTATTTTATTGAAAAGGAGAAGTATACTTGTTATGGATTTATACTCAGTATCATCTTATAGTTGACATAAAACGAGAGCACTTATACCTAGATATGTTTTTCTTTGTAAATCTTGGCAAATATTTCTTTACGAGGATAAAGGACGTGTACACACTGAAGACAAAATGATATTTTACCTATTAGCGAGAAGTCAAGAGCAACCATTGAATGGTACCAATGTCCAAACAAATTTTTCAAGAATTTTTGCTTCACATGTACCTTACTCTTTTAGAGACCATAACGGCATAACAACTCTGAATTTCAAGAAACCATGTGCACAAGGGACTTACTGCAATCAATGTCTGAACATAATGTTCATCTGGTATACAGTTGTGCTCCTTGGAACCATCTGTAGGCTGCATAAGTTAACGACTGTAAATAGCCACTTCAAACAAACCCATGTCAAATTATTAGAGACAGAACCTTAAAAGTTAGCTTGGGTTGGACAAACAACTTCACTATATCTTGACAGCTAATTCATACTGCTTCAGATTCAAACTTATAACTACTCAAAAATTTTATAGAGAACTTGGAAGCTGAAAGTGCAGCACAATAACAAGTTGCCTCTTAATTTGACAATATCAAATTCTTGAACTGATATTGTAAAAGGTCATTTGAAATTGTAAAAGGTCATTCAATATGAATGTGAACACTTCTTGGCATATTTGGTTGCACAACCATTTCTAACAGTTAAGTTGGCACAGTGTCAATCTAGGTTTTTCTAACTTACAGTTAGTTGTAAGAAGTAATATTAAACTTATCAAGCATGATCTAACCAATTTGTTGAATAGACATGCTGAAGAAAACTATTTAACATTCTTTAACATCAACAAACAGCAACCACCGACAGCTATGATCGCAATAGTCCTTGTCAAAGCAGGGTAACAACTTTGTTTAACATGTTCTTGTGTTACCAGAAACCAAGGTCCGTCATACCGTACCGTACCGGAGTTTCGACCCGGGCTCGGTACGGTATGGTACCGGTGTATCGGGCGGTACACCAGGGTATACCGATAATTTTATATTATTTTGTATACTGTAGCAGTGCTACAGTATAGCACTGTAGCGGTATCGGGCGGTCCGCGGTCTGCGTACCGAGTACCTGTCGGACCGGTACATACCGCCCGATATGGGCGGTATACTTCGGTACGACAGACACTGCCAGAAACTACCATTTCTCACCTGGCCCCTCATTGTGGAGCAGATTAACTAATTTTAGACAGTTGACAGTAGCATTAATCTCAAAAGTTGCTGTCACTGTTCACATAAAATGAAAAGAACTTTTTTTGTCAAGATCATCACTTCAATGGAACAACTGTATGACATACATTTCTTATCAACTTGATATGCATCCATCATTCATAATGCTTGGTCTGATATTTCTGAGTCATGTGGTCTCCAGTTAAGAGACTCAAGAGCCATTTCGTTCGAGTACCAAGAACCAAATAAATGGTTTGCAATAAACTACAAGAGTCACTACTTGTACCATTTCTGTTTTGTTTAAGGTAAACAATAAAAATAAAATGATTAGATTTTCATTAACAAATAACAAAGTTAGGATAGGTCAGCAACTTATTATGGAATAGGCACTTATAGTCTAACGAAACTGCCCCATGGTGTAATGCACCAATAAAATTAAAAGGACATGTCAAATGGGTAAAAATAACTTACAAGAGGATGATCCCTCCAAAACTCAGGTAGTGACCTCCTCTGGGAACATTTACAACAAAAATATTCAGAAAAAAGATAAATGTCCATATTTAATGCAATGCAATGATTAGTAAAATCTCGAACCGAAAAAAAAAAACAGCTGATAGACTGAATCTTTAAAGCACATTAGCACAAAAAAAACATCATCACAGACAGTAGCATTTAGTCCTGACTACTTGGTTGGCATTTATATGAAAATTTTCTTCACCAACATTTATACTAAGACATAATACTAGTTGAAATTTAAAGAAAATAAATACCTCGACTCCTGAATATTAAATTTCATCTATCTATCCATGTGCTAAGGGTATTTTAAATAACAAAAATATGGTCAACCGCTGGAATAGAAATATGTGAATAAAATATCATTGCCAATTTGGGTAACACAATTATTTTAGCATGAGTAGAAAGTGAAAAGATCCAACCTCTATTCCTATAAACACTGGATATGACTAGTCTAAGTCTGGAAATAATATCAGAGGCCGTCCAAGATACAATTCATAAAAACCATTACGTAAAATTAGTAGAATTGGCTTGGATGTTAGTTCGTTGAGACTTGGTCAATAGACTTAAATAGTGAAATTTCAGCATTATTGTCAAGGTCAAATGATCAAGGCATAGTAATTTCACGTTGATCTACAAGGCATGAAAAAAAAAAGCCAAATATGATTTGTATTCCCTCGGTGACACCCTTACTGTAGACTGAAGAACTTCTCTATGTTGAGAAAGCAATCTTACTCTGCAATGCCTCTCAAACTCTGGGAAGACTGTATCATCATTGACCATCACTGCAGCATGTTTTCTAGTTAACACAACCCACTAAAAATGCCAGAAATATCTCATTTTAGTATAATACCAAAAAAGGAAGCATTTTAGTGGTATATCAAATTCAGGGAGCACAATCTTATACCTGGGATCCTTTCCTCCAATTATACACTGGAATAACTGGGTTCATTTTTGGATTGTAACGACCCTGCTTTGTGTCTGCAAAACTGCTTCCAGCATTAAATGGTCAGATGTTATTTTTAGAATTTAGTGGCCATAACGCAGATATCCAGTGCTTCATTTCGCAATTTATAATTGCAAAGATGGTGTATTTATTTCACGTTTGTGTATGCTTTTGTGGAAGGAGTGAACCTATCACTTTCTTTGAAGCGCCGGCACAGCTCTTGGCTTTGGTAGGTAATGATGTTAAGATGTTGAATGTGCCATCTGCCTAAACTGAAGAACACGCTAGTGAAGTTATACAAAGTCTTTTATCATCAATTAAATTGCTCTTAGTGTGTCGAGTTTACTCGTATGTGCTTCAATTTGGAATAAGTGGGATGAAAGAGATAGCAGGTTTTTTCTACCTTAAATTTCTACATATTAAAGGCTCAATTAGTTAAAAATTAAGTTGCTCACAGGAACATAAACCCTGTGAGGTTGCACTCGTTTTCATCCTTACAGGAACGTAAACCCTGTTGCTATCTCAGCTATGCCTACCAGAGGCTTTGGTAAAGTTGGAATAAGAGAGAAGTAACTCATTTTGGGGTGGGCTTGCTGTATTGATGAACATTTGAAGAATTGCTTATCAAATTGGAGAGATGGATACAGGATGTACACTTGCATTACAAATTTATTTATGTAAATCACAATGAAAAACATGTTACAGTACATTTTGTGATTAGGGAACTTTTGAATTGCTGAAGAAAAATAGGGATTAATATTCATGCAAAGCTGAGAATGCAGAACAATGAAGAAATACAAGAAATCTATTATAACTTGCCCATGATAAGCAGGACCAGTGAAACGTACCTGTCTATAAAGCTAGTTGACGTAGACATTATATAGTGGTATGTGTAACTGAAGTTATATAATGGAATGCAGCTGCAATGCATAAAGAGAGACATCTACAGTTAGCTGCACCAATACATGCAGAGGTCAAGAAACTACTATGTTAATAATGGAAGATGAGAAAAGCTAACAAGCCATCCACTAATAGTACCAAGTTGAAAACTATCTTATTTTAAAAGTGTTGATCACTTTTAGACAACAATATATGCACAATGTAATGTTTACCAAATCTAAAGGTAGAAAATGATAAGTACTGGCTTATTAGAGTTTGAAATGCACTATTCCATTAAACCTAAAGGCATGGGACCCTTGTTAAGAACAACAACATGAGCTATGAAGTTGCACGTCACTTGAACAGTTACATTTTCCCTTCACCATAAATGAATTGTTAAGATACACCCCATTAGATGCCACATTCGAACTTTGATGTGACGCAAGGATACAGATATAAAGACCATGAGGAAAACACGTGGGTAGTAAGATCTTGAAGAAGTATAATATACAGCACAGATAAAATCATACAATCCTAGAATATTTTTTTAATATTAATGCCCTTACAGCAGAGTTTAACATTTATTTGGATTATTGGAAAATATTAGCCACAGGTTAAGGTAAGGCACAAAATGTAACTATTCATCAAGAATGGAGTCATTTGTAACAACAAAACATCCCAACTCCCAAGTACCAAAAATATGCACAAGCTTAAATGAACTTAAGATGGAGATGGAAAGGCACACCCTTATAATCTCTGACCATAACTCAATGTTCAATATGAATGGAATCATTGTCATAAAAACTAAAGTCAAACAAACTTCTATCCTATTTTGTCAAAAGGTAAACATTCTTAAAACATTAGTAATACAGAAATGAGAAATCCATGATGAAGAAATCCAGCAATATAGTGATATTTGAGAGAGAGTGGGATAAAGTTTCACGATGATTCATACCATGAAGTAATTATGACTCTCTTATGTATTAATCAAGAAACATAGAAGCAAAATGGATTCTTCACTTAAGCTCCCTACATGTGCATAACATGTATTCTAAGTAGAACTTAACTATAACTCCGACTATGTTGATGAACCTAACATCACTAGGTTCTAGTCAAATTCATTACCAGCAAATCATGAATACTGATTGAAGATTGTGGAACAACCAACTAATTGGCATAATGATTGTAGTCCGCACAAACATTCATAAGCATGAAACAAGTACATTTAAAAAAATTAATGCACCTGTCAGAGAGAAAAAGAAACCGGTGATTGGAAGAATCCTTGAGTGCATTTCTAAGCAAAATACGCTCTGCTTCAATCATACTAGCCTCTCCCCATTCTACCTGAAAACAGGGAACAACAATTATTGCAAAATTGAAACCAAAAGAACTTATGCCGCTTTCCAATGTCTATGAGAGACAAATAAAAAAAAAGCCTGAGGAAGACAGCAATGGTTATACAGCTAAACGGTACCCAAAATGACAAGAAAGCTGTGTCAAGAAATAAGAAATGCAACTAAACACCACCAACTCATTAAACCAATGTTCTTTATGAGTAATCATAGCTATTCAAGAAAACCAAAATCTTACTACAACATAAAAAAGTATGCTAGTTGTTTGTTGCACAATAGTGCTTACAGATCAAAGTTAATGCAAGGTCAAATTGGCAAAATATTTCTCAGTGGCCAGTACTTTCATCAAGGTCTATTCACATTACAGACAACAGAAGATTATATTCTTCTTCAACTGTATTTGAAGACTGTTGCTAAATTTTAGTGAACAGTGACAATAATGAAGACAAAGTGATCGATATTATCCTTCATCCCTTTTGCCTGTAGCAGTGTTAATCAGGAACAGGAGAGCAGATTTTATAGAAGTCGTTGGTGGTCTTTATCATCTGGGGTCTTTATCATCTGAAGGGCTGAATAAACAACCATCCAATATATGCAAATTATACTTTCAACAATGAGAAGATAACTCAACTTAGCTGCAATGTTATAAACTCTCTGATCTAGAACATGAACAAGTTGAAACAAAGTTTGCAATTTCATGTATCAGTAGTGTACTGGTCATGGTTAAGGCCGGTACCATGACGGTCACAAGAGCTAATGATGGTTAATTAGTATAATGCCAACATACAAGCAAAATATCAGATGAACTCGTAAACAGTTCCCAGCATCGCCAAGAATGGACTATGCTTCAACTTATAGACCGCATCAGAGGAAAGCATGGTCCAAACTTCAAACACAAGCTCCTGTATAGCACTGATTAACTGCTACGCAACAGCTAATCTTGATGTGCAATTGCATTTTATTTATGATCATTTGCTTGCTAAAGCTTGAAGCCTTTTGAAGAAACATCCAAAATGTCATGGAGAATGACTAATAAGAATCATAAATGACATGACTAGAGGATGGAACATTCTGTATTTTCCAAAGTGGTTATAATAAGATCACCAGTATGATCATTGTAAGCAAATAATAATAAAAAATCGCAGACAGACATTTCCCATCAATTTGGAAATATGTGCAACACAAACATGTGCACCTACAACTTCAGAATTCAGTCGAAGACATGTCAATTCTTCCAGTTTTTGAATGACTCATGATAGAAGTCCAGTTTCTCCATGGATTTCAAAACATAAACATAATTTGAAGTACAAGATGCAGCAGAAAATTAAAATTTTCGCGTAATGAAGGTTGGAATAATATAAACACGATCATCCCTTAGGAATAAGAGAATGATTCATCGACCAGATGTAGGTTCACCAGCAAAGAGAAAGCACTATACCTGAATACTGTTATTGACCTGACGGCCAGAAAAGTAAGCAGATCGCGTGGTCACCTCATTGAGGAGAAACCCAGGCCTCGAGTGAACGAAGATTGAAAATTTACCCTCTTTCTCTCCCTACAATTCATAGGACCGAAGTCGTTGTTGTGTGAACAGAAACAAACATTAGGGGCTGACGAAAAGAAAGATCAGGGACCAAGACCTGGAAAAAAGCATCCCAGACGAAGTCCAAGGGAAGCCGATTGCGAGCTATGAAGAGAAAGGCGATCTTGGGCTTCTGGACAACCACGAGAGGCGGAGCTTCCGGCGCACCAAACGTGAAAATTCGGCTGTAGTGGTAGTGGTTAAGTATCAGCAAGAAGCAGGTGGTCAAGAGGAGCACCACCACCAGCGCCTTGATTCTCCATCTGCTGCTGCGTTGCTGCTGCAAAAAGTTCCGCCGCTTCATCTGCTCCTCTCCTCCCCTCTCTCCTTCACTCTCCCCCTCTTCAGATTACTTCCATGGTTAATTTGGGACCAGCAGATCTCGCTTGCCGCCTCGAAGTCTCAATCTCACATCTCTACCAGCAGAGCAGCATCGATGACGAGAAGAAGAAGATCTGATCACCAACCAACGCTAATGCCTGATTCCACCAGATGAAATCATTTCATTTCATCACGGATTGTCTCCAACTCTCGAGACGAAACGAGCTAACAACCTCATGGTTCGTGGAATCTGATCCAACTTCGAGAGTTCTCCTCAAGTTTCGTCCGCCGAATCAGTAGCTTATATTATACCTCCCTCGTCGAAGAAGTATTTGTTGAAAAGCCACTGTTGCGTTCGATTCAAGACAAAAGCGAAGTGAAAAAAGGAACACACGAGAGAGAGTAGAGCATAAATAAATAGATAAATAAATCAAAATATAATGTTAATTATATTAATAGATAACATTTACCGATCTCATTAAATAGACATCGATGGAGGGAGTTGTCGATCACGTGTTGTTGGCAATTCATTTAATGACTAATTAAATAACTATTTTTGGGGAAATAATGCGTGCCATTTTTAAAGTGGAAATTTAATATTTTGTGCCGCTAAAATAGAAATGTTTTATGAAGTCCTATTTCTAATATGGTTTATGATTTATGAAACCTAATGCATTGCTTTTCAAGGATGAGGAAAGGTAAGGTAGTCTTGTGACATGAGAGATCATGCACTCCAGTCTTTTTTGTAAGAACCAAACAAATTACCTACCCCCCTACTGGAAAATCTTTAAGATCCAAAACATCACTGTGACCAACAAAAAACTTGGTAATGATACAAAAGTGTGTATTAATTTTATAGGCAAATGGCAATTAGCATAATTTGCCTCTGAACTTAGGCAATGGAGCCAGCAGAAAAGAACACAAAATCCTGCTGCCTTCCCAAACTGTTCGAGGTGGAAAGATGGTGCCACCACTAGGAACACTAGAACAAAGTCTCAAGCAGATTTGGACTTGGTTCTCTTCACCCTCGAGTATAGGAAGACACCAATGAGTGCCACTCCAGTTCCTGCAAAGGAAATCCAAGAATGGATTTGGAAATCGATCCAAGAAGCAGTTTATCAACAGTCATGAGGGGTAAGAGTTACCAATAGAATTAAGAGGTGAAACTGGTGTCCTGAAAAAGAGAACTGACGAGATTATAACCACCACGCGTTTAACGCAGTTTCCAACGGAGTGTGTGATAGGTGATACTTCGGCTAATATCATATATGAAGCCTGCGACAAAGAAGCCATAATGAGACCGTAGTGCAAGAAATGAGAATGTGTTGACTGCATAATCCAAGCAACAGAAAGAAATGTTAGAGATGATCAATTAAGCAAAGCTCTCAAGCACCCAATATATTATTTGTAAGAATCTTTATTTAAATTTTTGTGAAGTATGGCCCTAAAACAAAATTTGCTAACTGGTAAATGTTACTCATCTGTTCAAGCATTCTTGCTACTGCAAAATCTAGATACATAGTTAAACTTAAACACATTTGACATCGACACTGCTCCATGTTATTCTCCAGCTGTGAACTTCATAGTCGACTAATCAGCTCATGTTTCCTACACCTTGTTATTAGTCCACTCCTTAATACATCCGCGTCCACTTTTCACCCCTGAAATATTCTTGTTACCTTTAGTGCTCTGCGACAATTACCTCAAGCAATATGACTGATCTTGTTTCAGAGATCAGATTTCTTAGTGGTCACACCACTGCAAAGAGCCAAGTGGTTACAAATGGCCAGTACAGATCACATTTCTATTGAATTGGCCACTTAAAAATGCTACCTTATGACTGGAACTTCGATGGGAGGGCTGATACCTAGTCCTACATATCTCAAGGATATCTTTTTGTTCCATGTGGACTTCTGATGGTTTTTTCTTAATACCTTGAGACTCAACAATAAGAAATCAAATAGTATTCTATTGACATTTAGAAGCTGAATGACGTAACAAATCGGTAATCTAATATCCCAGTAATCTGTGTATGGTGGTTAACATGGACCAAGATACTCAAGCCCCAGGTTCCTGCTAACAGGTCTCCAAGTCTAAATATATATGTATCTTCTGATTCTTGCTCAATACAAAACTATAACACTTTTCCAATCAGACTTTTGGCATAGCTTTTAGGTGCAACAAGCATAGCCAATATAATTCTGCTTTAAGATTTCAATATGAGACAATTCTGAGGTAAACACCATCTTAAAGCACATGAGGGCATATCTTCACTGACATATAGGGACCACAGAGGTGCTTTGATGCCAATTTTAATGACACAAGTGATCCGCTAAATCATTTTCATGCACAACAAGCATTAACTGGGTGATCCAAAATACTCAACCCAAGTTATTTATTGGTAAACCATCTATGTGATGTATGGCACAACTCTATTTCTAGTTACTTTCCATCTTCATTGCACCATTACAAATAATTTAAAATCCTTCTCAGTTGCTGATGTTAGATTGACTTATGATAACACCTATCTCAGTAGAACTCCTATGAGCCCTTATAGATGGACTTTTGAAGCTGCTAATAATGTTTACAATAATCCAAGCAACCTGCTAGTACAATAGCTTCTGTGGCGTGGGTCTCATCAACATGGCTCAAATGCTCAAGTCCGGAACATCAATAGCAGATTTTTTTTATTTTTTTATTTTTTTGCAAAGGGTAAGTGGCAAAGGAGGGATTCGAACCCATTACTAGTAGATTATTAAAAAAAAAAGTCCATCCCCTCATTGTCTCGCAATGTAGGGCAATCAAATTAATCACTTGCAAACAAAAGATATACAATAAAGTTATCTATAGCCCATCTTAATGGGCTTTAGAATTGAGCCGATTCATAAAGCAAAAGAAGTTAATTGGTCAAAGAAGAATCTCATAAGAGCAATAACCATAACTAAATGTGCTCAAGGATATCTGACCTGTTGATAAGCATGAAAACAAACACCAGCAAGGAACGATCTCACATATACCTCTTTGAGATTCAGACCCTACAGACGGAAGAGGTAAAAGGACTAATCATTAACAATTTGGAACCTCTCAAAATAGTTGTTACAAATAGATATCTGCTCTCAGTATTATTTACTTACAGCAAACCGCATGTATGATGGAGTAAATTTTATTCCTTCAACCAATAGGGATACAGGCGCTAACAGGAAAAATGACATGACTGTAATTATTGAGAAGAGAGTAATGTGGTCCATCGTTTCCTGTTTAATTAAAAATTACTAGTCAAGATCAGAATTGCTTAGACGAAAATATGAAATAGAAAACTCAACTTGTGTCATGTCTTCAACAGTATTATTCAGTATTATTTGAACTGGTTGAAATCCATTCAACAATAAGAAATTTTGAGGTTAAGGTCAAGTGTTAGCTGAAGAATTGAGGTAGCAATCACCAAATTTGCATATGCAAATTAAGATTTTTATTTTTCATTATAGTTCCCCCTTTTCTCTTCCACTACACACACACACACACACACACACACACACCATGCACACAATATAAATTTAGTGAAATTAGCAAAACTGACAGATTAATGTTGCAGACTTTCATATTCGGCCATTTCGTAGAGTTTAAACTTTAAACAATCCTGGCCTATCTGAACCAATTCCAAACTCAGTGCCGACTAGCCCACATAAGAGATCAATGGAGTAAGTGAGAGATACTTAAGAGTACCTCATCTTTATCCATGATCTTTTTGCTGAGAACATTACGAGATTGATTGGTAAGGTTGGATGCCATTGCGCTCCAAAATCCAGCCCTATTTTCCCAGAAATGAAGGGATTATAAGTTTGACTGCTAGATTAAATAAAGTATCTAGGTTTGTTGCATTTTCAACTAGGAACTGAGATAGGCAAATTTGAGGGACAAAATGAAACTAAGAAAGAAAATGCTACTTACCAGTTGAATGAAGCTTCAGTTAGAGATGCCATAGCAACACCGCCAACAATTGGAACAAGAGAAATCAAAACCCATAGAGTAGGCAGCTGCAGATAAAATTAATAATCAAATGCTTCAATTTTATTTCCATCCAAAGTTCATTAAAAAAAAGGGGTGCACGAAGTGCATGAGGCTCCCGCCAATGCGAGGTCGAGGGAGGGTCATAATAACCAAAATTACATGCATCACGATGACAACCATGGAGAACAAGAAAACATATCTCAATATATTTTCATACAATGCTCTTTGTTGAGACATTTGTATTGGTTGGTGCATTGTTGCACAAAGTGATAGGTCTTAGGTTTGAATCCACGTGTGAGCGTCATGTACGCCATTTAATATAATTAAAATATATTTCAATTTATATATATTTATATATATATATGTATATATATATATATATATATATATATATTTCATATAATGGCCAAATACAAATTGGATCAAATATGGAGCATTATGAAAAAGAGTAAATATAAGGTCAAACATCTAAAATGGTGGGTAAGCGCTTCTATGGTTTCACAATGAGGGTTACAAGACAATCTTTTCAGAAGACATAAGTCCCAAAAAGGATCTACTAATTATGAGGGACCTCACATGATCAGGAAAAAAGAGGTCCAAAGCTTACTGACTCCTCTAGGACTTCAAGTAGATGCAAACAAGAATGATTAGACAAGAAAATTACCTCTCCAAGGAACATGGCAGAAAGAACTACTGTGAAAAATGGCTCCAGTGCCTTTATTGTGTGAGTGAATGAAACAGCAACTTTTCCGAGACTCATGTTTGTGAAAAGGTTTGCCAAAGTGTGCACGATAGCCAAGGGAACAATTGCTGCAAGCTGCCCATACATAATCATATGTTAAAGGATATAGACCACAATAATCCAAGAATTATAAATGCCACCATTGAGCACCTGTTTAGAAGAGATCTTAGGCCTCTTGTATAGATTAGTCACCCACATCAACCAAATAAGCACAGTCCCTATGGCGAAGTGGATTGTCGTGATGGTTATTGGGAATGGATATACCTTCAGAACCTGCAACAATATCATTAGAGCTTCTACTCTGCCATCAGAAAAACTATACTGAACATTTGATATATTATGTTTTAGTATATATCTATAAGACCTTTTTCAAACAAGAATCAGGTTTCATCAATTTCTTCTTATAAAATTACATAAGAATGCTAAATTTATAGTGATAATGTTTTTATTGCATGAAAGACTTGGTTTAAGCATCCTAGATTTCGTATGAAGGAAAAAGTCCAAAGGTGGGCATTGCTTCTGGATACGAAATGATCTCATTAATCCAGGTAGAGGAGGCTTGTCATAGGCATCAAATCCTTAAACATAATTGAGAAGCCTAAGCAAAAATATCAGACAGCTCCATAAACACCTCAGATTTGTTTTAAGCAATAGGAAAGATATGAAACTTCAGGTTACATTAGTTACATTATTGCATATGAAATATTCATCAAGTGCCCTTCCCAATGATCATCCTATAACCGTTGTGAATCATATGGTTCAAAGTCTTAATACTGTATTCATTTCGGCACATAGGATGAAAGATGCACTCGTTAACCATATCCACTTATCTTAATTAAGGAGAGATCAAGGTGTTGTGTTTAATAAAAGATAATAGTGAAAAGTAAACTTATAAATCAAGACACCAAAACAAATGATAAGAAACCATAAAAAATTACATTACACCACTTAAAAGGGTGGAAGAACAGAATTCTTTTGTCTATATGGATGAGCAATGGAGGACTGGTTCATGTTTCATCATACTATTATCAGATATAATTGCACAAAGGATAGAACAAAATTCTCTGATTAAAATTGAAAAAAAAACTTGATTAAAATTATACTTGTTGACTCTTGTTCATATGTTTTTCAAACATCAGGATATTAATAAACAATGACCATATAATGGTTTATGCAAAACACAAATCATAGTGTGGTTCATGATGGAACAAGAAGCTGCCACCTAAAATTCTAATCTGAAGTTTCGGGTTCACAAATGGAATCCAACAGTGCAAATTTCTCTGAGAAATTTGACAAGCATGCTTTTCTCTCCAGGATGAGAACAAAACATAACCATTTCTCTCAACAGAAACAGAGCTTTAATTCGCCTTGATGGATTCTGATTAATCCGTTCAAGCTGGTTAATTTCTCGTGCAGTAGATCGTAGATTACTGGAGAAAGAGGCATAACAAAATAAAAAGTAATCCAGCCATATGGATCTAAGATGCAGTTGAAATTTCATTTCCAAACAAATATATTGGTCTCTCGTTAATTGCCATTTTTCCTCGTGCTAGGAAGAAACCATCTTTCATCGATGAGGCGAAAAGGGTCTCTTGATCAGGATGTATGGAACGAAGTTAGATACATAGATTGAGGTGGTAGTTGCGACGAAGACAAACCTGTTTGTCGTAGATGTTGAAATAGATGTTGAAAAGATACCAGAGGCCGAATAGGAACCCCAGCTGCAGCTTCTTCACCATCCCGCTCGTGGAACTCGAACCATATGAGGAGACCGCAGCCTCGCCATGGTTCTCCGTGCCCCCGGCCGCGGCGGCGGCGACGTCTTCTGCAGCCTTCACCACAGTGGTGAGACCGAGCGAGGATTTCTGGTTGGCCAAGCGAGGCGTGAGGAAGAAACGCGTAGGACGGCAGGATAGTGGACGGATCCGCGGGAGAAACGATGGCAGATCCGTCGAGAAAGAAGAAGAGGATGAGGAGGAGACGGTTGGTACGCTACAATGACTACCATCAGGCAGATTACTGCCGGCCCTCAGCATCGGCAGCGGAGGACGAGCGGCAGAGAAGGCCGCGCTCCGCAAATGCATCCTTCCCCTCGTTTGAAACGGAGGCAATGCTCTCCTACTCTATACTACAGGGTTTTTACGAATTAGTGAATATTTCTCTTCTTATTACACTGAAATCCTTTTATTTTAGACAGGTAGATGAGAAATTAGGAATATAATAAACATAAGATATGGGAAAATGAAGACGGACCTTTATGAATCTCGCATCGAGTTTTCATTGGCTGAGGCAGGGTGGGGTCAGCAGAGCAAGTCATTGGGTTGACCAATGTGGCGGCCGCCTTGGACAGGACCGCTTGGTTTCTTCCATTAACGTGGCCGGAAATATGGTCAGGTTCATTCGAGATTGGCAGCTCTGGATGTGCACGAAATGGGAGGCTTTTAATGGAGTCTTTATCAGCTGCCTCCAATGCAGGATGAGTTGGACGAGTTGTCCTATTCAGATATGGTCAATTTCTTGGGCAGTGACGTGGCCGGTCACAGCCCAAATGTGTGAGGCCCACACGTGTGGATCTGACGCTTCCAGCTATGTGACTCCCGAGAGAACAGGAAATAGAAGCTTCACCAACTTGTCTTCTGAGTCAACAAAAAAACCCATCATCAGCTCCAACAGTTCCTGCAGAACTTGGTTGATGTAGTCTTGACTGTTTGGAGTGGGAAAAGCTGCTCAGCTTTCAGTCAGATTCTCTATCAAATTCTCTGGTTGGATAATAATAACATCGACATATTTACTCATTAAAAAAAAGGTTCTTCCTAGTTGATGTCTGAACTCATCTTTTCCATTTCTGCTGCAACTTGAGGTCTTCTTCGTCTTCTAAGTTGACGACAGTCATTCCTTGAATTTGCTCCCAGCTTTTTGTCACCCTTGCCGGAAAGAGTTGAGCCTATACGTGTAATTTTGAATAACAATCGAATGATCAGAGCTTTCATACTTATAATTCACATATTTATTAGTTCATTTCTGCTTATAATTAAACCAGAATATCTTCTTTTTAGTTCGTATGGTCGATTTACCTATTGGGGGAGGTGGTCGGGGCGATGAAACCATAGCGTGGGGTAGTCCTTATCGCCTCCGGTGACAACCGACGATTGATTCGGGACGTAGCCCGCCTTCAGCCGTCGAATTTAGCCAGGGAGACCTCATCCCTAACCTTAATGTGGTGAAAGAGCTTGGGGCTCCCCACCACCAGGAGCCACTCTCAAAGGGCACCGTTTTGCTCCTCTAAGTCCTTCTCCATCTGCACAAAACAACCCTCCTGTTAGTCTTAAGCAAAGACAACCACAAAACGCCCTTCTCCCCCTCTAAGATCTGATGTTTCTATCGAGAACCAATGGGAATGACAAGAGGAGACAGCTTTATAGATCTCCTCGCTGTTCTCTTCTCTCAAGATCGATGAGAAAGCAATATTTTAAGGAAAAAGATGATCGAAGAGTGGAGGAAGACTTACAAGAGGAGCAGCTTCAATGTCTCACCCACCCTCATATTCTTCATGTACTCGGTTAAATTTGAGAAACGAGGGCTCTTGTAATTAAAATATCGAAAATGATATTTTGATTTATGTAGTTAGATTTTTTTTTAGTATCTAACTCTATTTATATTATAATTTTTATAGTTATAAAATTAAAATAACTAATTTTATTTATTCTAACAATATCGGTTTTATAAATATAAGTATGAAAACGAAGGTAAAAAAATAATTTTAATATCTTAATTATATTTTTTATGATGACAGATGATTATGTCGTTAGGGGTTGCAGGTGACATGAGGAGAAATAGTAAGTATGTAAAGAAAGAGGATAACGTAAATACCCTCATTTTGTTTCACTTCTCATCGATTGTTCTTTTTCCTCGTTAATAACAATCACTTATAATTTCGTTGTATGTTACCATTAACTTGAATGTTAAAATTATTATTTTTATTTGTTATTTTTATATTTTTAATGATGACAGATAAATAAAATTATATATTTTATTTTTTATAATTATAAAAATTCGAATGTAAAATTTTTTCGATCCAAATATAACTTTTAAAAGTTCCGGAAGAAACTACTGGGGCAAATATGTAATTAACCCTTTCCATTCGTGCCTCACCCGAAGGTCTCGTTTCTTATCGTCTCTTCACCTTCTATGCTTCCTTCCTTCGTCTTCCTCGGTGATCTAGAAGAAAGCCCCAACCCTAGAATTTCTTATCCGTGTTGGAGGCCCGCCTAGCTTCTTAATAGATCTGCGTCGTGGTCGCCGCCTTCGTGCTTTGGTGGATCCTATGAACGCGACCAAGTTCATGGACAAGCAAATCACGGAGCTGTCCGGAACATCGCAGGCGCCCGGCGAGTTCTTCGACTTCGTCAATTCTCAGGAGGACCGCCGGGTCAACGGCGTCGCTGGTGGACGAAGTGTCAAGCAGGAGCAGCAGCAGGAGTCCGAGATCCTCCCGAGCTATGACTTTCATCCCATTCGGGCCGTAGGATCCGCCTCGCTTTCCATCGCCGGCGGTGGCGGTGGCGGCGGCGGTCCCAGTGACTCATGGCCCTCCTGGGGCTCCATCGACTCCAAGTTAGCCTCCTCCAATCTTAAAGTACGTGCCCTCTATTTTTAAATTTTTTTTTCATGGTACTTTGTTGATTAGGGTTGAACATTGGTCACGATTTTAGAGTTTAGATTGGTTTTGATGGGACTGATGAGGTTTCTTGTCTCCGGCCTTTGTCTTTGTGGAGATTGGAGAAGAAAAGATGGAAAATTTATGCACTTAATGGATTTTAGCAGATGCTTGCCTAATTTGGATACTTTAATCATCCCTCATTGATAATTTGATATATTTGTTTTGAGAGGATCTTTATTGTTGTGAGAATTACATTTTCTCGGAACTTATTGCTTTATACTTACCATTTAGTATTAAGGTAGCCAGTGCAATTTGTTTTTGTTAAGATGTAGGGATCTTTTGAATTATTTGTGTAGATCTGGTAACTAGGTCGAAAAGATTAGTTTGCCTTCTGTGAAATGTACCAAGCTTTGGTGCATAATGAGCTCAACAAGTGCTACAAATTGAGGCTCAATTCTAACAAATGAAGTTGAATGAGAACAACTTTATGTTAATTTTCATTTGGTTAGAGAAACAACAGAATAATAAGTGGAAATTCTACCAAAGATGAGCTCCAATATGCCAAGATAATATGGTTGAATAAATCTTTTCTTTCGAAACAAGTTTTATTTGTCTGTTAGAGTGTCAAATGAAAATCACAGGTGTCATCGTGGAAAAGAGCATTGTTGTTTCTTGTCAACTCTTAATACTTGTTTTTTTGCGACTTAGTCATGGAGAATTCCCTCCATTTTGTGAGGGATGGATAAAACTCCCCAAGTGGGTCAAACATCTTTTTCCTAGTGAGTATGTTCCTTGAGGTCAAGTTGCTCGCCTAAAAAGAAGTACACTCTTTGGTCAAATTTGAGTGACAATCTGAATGACCATTAGATGATCACCCTATCAGATATGCTTTGTGGAAATTTTCTCTATTGCTGAAACTGAAAGTAACTTATGGCAGTTGAATTTGGAGAATCTTTTCCTATATATGCTGCTGTACATACAATCAGTAGATGGAAAATTTTCTGCTGATATGCTGTTAAGACTGGCTATGGACTGGAATTTTGAAGTTAATTGGATCTATGATTATGGCGAGATTAGGCAGACCATTTGGTGGCTTTGTTTGTTGGTTCAAGCATAGTGTCCAACAGTATCCAACTGTACCAGGCTTTCTCATTTGTCGGTGTAATTTCATCTTGCTGGGTGCGGAAAACCCATCTGTTGGAACTTTCATAATTGATGGTTGGTTCAAGTTCATGTTGGCCATATGTATCTATGTAACCTAATCTCAACTTAACTCATACCTGACTTGACATTTCCTAATGGCAACCTTGTATTATTATAAGATTAAGAAGAGTTGAGTTATAAGGTTTAATCATTCGTGATATCAAGTAGTTATGTTTGTGATACATCATGGGCAATCTTGTCAGTCTGTAGCCTTTGGAGCATGCTTTATGTTATTATATTTGTCAGATGTACTTTAGTTTGACTACAATCTATTCATTTAAGTAATTTTGTTGGACATGCTTTACTTCTGATTATATTGTGCTATATTTCAGAATCTATTATGACTGTTTTCTAATATGTGCCACATAAGCTGTTGTTTCTTACTTTTTATTCATCAATACAGAATGCTGGTGTTCTGGAGTCCCATGAATTAACAAAAACTAGCCATGAGAAAGAGAAGAGCGCTCATGATATTGCTTTTGTTGCTGAGATCGATCACACTGTGAAAAGATATGCTGATAATTTGATGAACGCTTTGGAAGGTCTTAGTTCAAGGCTGTCCAAAATTGAGAGTAGAACTCACCACATGGAAAATTCTGTGGATGAGCTTAAGGTGGCTATTGAAAATAATAACGGAAGCACAAATGGAAAACTAAAGCAAATTGAGAATGTTCTTAAAGAGGTGTGGCTTCTTGATTATTATGCTTGATCAATTTAAATGTCTCCATGTATAAATTATGTTTGTTCTCACCATGATTATCGTTTATGTTTGTCTTCAAGGCCAAGCTAATCAACTAGATCATTTGTCAGAAAGGAATTATAGTAGCTAGTCAGCATGTATGTCCTTGTCTCATCATGATGCATACATGTCAACCATTCTATCATCTCGTGAAGATGTATGCTAATGATGACTATCATTGTTCTTCATTGATTTGTTGCTGCTGCTGCTTTTAGTTGGTTTTATGCAATTTTGTTGTTGGTCTTTATTTTTTGGTTGTTACTTTAATAGCCTTGTTATCTAATTATTTCCCATTGTTCTATTATAGATTTTAGTGCAGTTCTTACTTTAAACTTGCCTTTTATTTTTATAACCAATCTAAAATGTTGATGGTTTATAATCGATCTATGTGATTATTATATGAATTTTTAGTATCTTCGATGACCACTAAACTTAATTAAATCGTACATATATATAATTCTTTATTAAATAAGTTAGTGTAGTTCATGCTGATTGTATATGTTATTTGATAATATATTCTGGTTGCAGAATGTTTTGTATCATCATCATTGTTGCAGGACCTAAAAGCCTGGTAGCAAAGGACTTGTATGGACACTAGCATGTTATGATACTTTGGAATTTTATACATTCACAGTTCTCCCCGGACAAGACAAATTTAGAGGTGTTGCCTAAAGAATTATATGGTTGGCTTATAAATCTATCAATTTAGTTGCATAATTGTTTCAACTGAATGGAAGTGATGTTGGTTTATGTAATTCAGTTGTTCTAGTACACCCCTCTTTGACATCCTAAAAGTAGACTTTCCATTGTTCTTGTTCTCAATCCCATGTGAAACCATATTATTCCCCGTTAAAGTTCTCTTTGGGCATTACCAGTTAATTTAATTAATAAAATGACATCTCTATAACATTTTTATAATCCCTTTTCCACATTAGCGGTGTTGTGGGAGTTTCTTTTAATTTGAATGAATTCCTCGTGTGCTACTGGAATCTGAATTTCTACTCTCTAAATTGAGGACTATTAAATTTGAGATTCAGCAATCTGGTAGACCTCCAGGATTGAGGCAAAAAAGAGCCACAATTTCAAGCTGTCACACCCTTGGCCATCGTTGGTTTGGAAACTTTATTTGGATATGGACTCCGGTTCCTTATCTTATAGGTGTTTTCGTTGAGCTAGGAACATGTTGATGTTCTTTCCCAATAACAGTTTGTAATGAGGCAAAAATGGTGAAGACTTTTAACTTCTATTTACCTGATCTTGCTATAAACGGCATTGTCTCTGATGATGTAATCATGAAGAAGACTAACCTCTGACGAATTTGACTTCTCGTAATATTAGAATGTAGTCATTGTGTCTGCATACTGCTTATTTGGCCTCAAAGAGCTTAGCTTTTGTATATTGATGTACAAAATTTGCTTGTCATCACTGATTTTATTGTTGTTGCTTTGGAAAAGATAGTGATAACTTTAAATCTCATCTTGGTGCTTCACATTTGATTCTTCTAGAAATGAAGGATATCCCATAAATAACGGTTTTGCAAATGAAAATTGTTCCCTTTGATAAAGTAGCTCTTAAGAAGTTTTTCCTAGTATTTGAGATAAACCATTTACTTTGGCATAGTGATTCAAAGTGACTGCTAAATTTTCTATTAACTTCACTAGAAACTTGATCGTGTTGTTTGTGCAACTAGAACTTGAGACAATCATCTGGTAGCACTACAGGTGTTTCTATATACTGCAAAAGTTCTTGTTGCCATCCTCTTGCTAGACCTACTAGATGCCAAATGAATGATTGTAGTTTCCTGTTATTTTCATTTGCTGGTAAATTTATCAGAACAATTATGGAATGTTATCAGGTTATATTGATGACAATGTTCATCTAGTTAAAAGCGGTAAGAGTGTGAAGTAATGCTAGTTTCTGTTGATGAGGCATGTTGTTACACTTCTTTCAGGTACACTCCAGTGTGCAAATTCTGCAGGATAAGCAACAGGTGACAGAGGCACAGCTGCACCTTGCACAGCTAATAACTTCTGAGGGAGATCAGCAGCTGCCAGAAAATTCAAAGACTGGAGATTCAGATTCTCAACAACACGAGTTACCTCCACCACAACAGCCCGTCCAACAACCCTATCAACGCCCTGTTCCACAGGCACAACCAACTGTGCTTCCTGCTCCACCACCTTTACCACAACAAATCCCACCTCCCCAGATACCCCAATTGCCTCAATCTCAAATTCTTTCTCTTCCATCTGTACCACAAGAATTCCGTATCCAGGCAGCACCACCTCCTCTGCCGCCCCAACCGCAGCATTATCAGCCCTCTTTGCAGCATCCACAATATTCCCAGTCACCCCAGTCGCAGCAACCTGTAAGTCCCTCGCCACAGCTGCCACCTGCAATGTCCCGGCACCCTGAAGAATCTGTACCATATATGTCTCCACCTTCTAGCTATGCTCCAAGCATCCGCCAACCTGCTCCTTTTCCTCAGCCACTGACTGCACCCCCTCAACAGTTTTATGGCCCCATGCCCAATATGTATGAACCACCTGCAAGCAAACCAAGCTCAGGGCTGCCACCTTTTTCTTCTGGCTATAGACCACCAGTAGGTCCTGGTTACCATGATTCATATGGTTACAGTGGATTGCCTTCCGGTCAAAGCAGCTCTGCGTCAAAACCTTTGCCTATTGCGTCCTCGGTCTCATCTGGTGGAACAAGCAACTATCCACGACTCCCAACAGCCCAGATCTTACCACAGGCTGCACCAACTAGCTCTGCTTCAGGTGGTTCTTCAGGGACTAGAGTGGCGATTGATGATGTGGTGGAGAAAGTTGCCACCATGGGGTTCTCGAGAGATCAAGTCAGGGCAACTGTAAGGAAGTTGACTGAGAATGGACAGTCAGTTGATCTAAACGTGGTGCTTGACAAACTCATGAATGATGGAGAGATTCAGCCTCAGAAAGGTTGGTTTGGTCGGTGACTGTTTGCCAAATCTTCATATCATCTGCGTATATAGTGATTTTGTGAACCTTCTTGTCTCCATCCTTGTGTCACCAGATTGAGTGGTTTGAGAAGACTCAGATTCTATTGCTTTTATTGGATTGCATGTTTCCTTCTATTGAATCTGTGGAGGCCCCTGATGACTTTTATATAGATTGATCATGTCTTGAAGGAATCTTCAACTGCTCCAGGACCTCAAGCTGCTGTATATAATATATTTTGTGGTTGTACTTTTCGGCAGTGAATGTTTGAGTTGTTGTCTTGGAACTATGACATAGGAGACCAATCAAGGTGATATCCATGGCACATTTAGACGGTGTTTCTTGTTTACCTAAAACATCTTTTGCAGTTCATTCTGTTGTTCCCCAGTTAAAAGTTGCAATCATATCTACGTAGAATGCTTCCCCGTGATCTGAGTGAAGTAATCATTTACATGTTATACAAGAGTGAGTTATTTTTCACACATGTAGCTTTTCATTGTGATTGATTAGCTTTTCAGACATATATCTCGATCTAGTTTGATTTATTTTACAAAAAAAAAAAGACTCAGTTTACTTTAAAAGATTTTCAAGGAATTTATCGGTTTAAGGCAAGAAACACACTTCAGTCATGGCTCAAGTATTATCCAAAAGCTATAAAACAATGTCAATAGTTGCACTATACTTCCATCAAGTCATATTAACTGACCAAGAGGCCCTTATTATTCCAAGCCAAACCAAACAAGGGTTTTAGCATCCAAAAGAGTACCTTTGCTACTTACAAGTACAAATATAAACAAAAAATAAATTACATGAGAGAAACCAGAATGATCCAGACTCTCCCACTTGATTCATTTACGCCACAACTCGGTAACAGCACCAGCACCATTGTTCCAAATGGATCTATATTTGAAGAGCAGCAGCAATTTCACCAGCAAGGCTTAAAATTTCGAAGGGAGGTCTGTTCTTTACTTCCTTTACTGTGAGTGGGCACGAATCAGTTATCCAGAAGTAGCTCAATCCATTTGATGGACCCACTGACAAGGGTAAGAAAGTGCATTCAAGTTAGTTCACCAATGTAAGCATGGAAGGGAGAAAACAAAATGAATTGTGAAAACAAATGATGCAAGGGACATTCACATTTACAACCGTCAGTGCAGGATTTCTAATAGTGCTTTTTAACAACATTTAAGGAAAAAGATCATCTAACACTGTGTGCATCCGAAAAAAAACAGATAGTTTAAGCTCGATATAGAAGTTGACTAATAGTCTCCTAATATAAATTTATATAAACTAGGTACACCATAGAAGCACCTGAACATATGGCATCAAGCATGCTCTTCCTTTTGCACCAAATTGTCTAAAATCCCGTCTGGGTGGAATTTATGCTTAATGGTGTCCAAGCTCCATTAATGTCACAATCAGTTCTCATTCACAATAAAATCTTGTCTTGTTTTTACTGAAAGTCTACATCTGTCATTTTTCACTCACAATAAAATCGTGTCTTGTGTCCAAGCTCCATTAATTGTTTTTACTCACAATTAATGTCTAGATCTGTGATTTTTTCTTGTTTTCTGAAAGTCTATTCACAATACCTTTTTCATGTGAGAGAAATGTAGCACAAGCCAATAAAGAATATGTGGCTTCTAACAAAAAACTTTATCTAACTTCAGTTTAGCATAAACCGTACTTTAGTTCCTTTATACAGAGTAAAAAGGAGAATGAGTGGAATTTAGCCACAATCGTGATTGTACAACTATTTCTTGTTGGCCTTAGTTATTCTGTTTGTTTTGATTGATGTAAGTGACTTGAGATATTAAAACTTCATAATCAGGATAAATACTGCTGCAGTATCTTCCACACGGGTGGGTGGCGGCTGAGAAAACAATAATACCAAACAGAGAACTGAGTGTTTTCACAAAGACTTGATCCTGGCTTCCCAAAATACCTTCAGCACCAGAATAATCTAGAAAATAATGATTAAAAATAGCAATGGAAGACAAGTAAATTGCACCCCAGTTTTTCTGATTTTCCTCCAACATTCCATCTCTGTGTTTCACCAACTACCATAAATGTCATGTGGTCAAAATAAGATGGTGATAAGTACATACATGACATCTATTAAATAGCAAGTCTTCCAAGTTAATTAGCTATGGAAAATATGAACAAGCTTTGATAGATACAGTTACAGTAACAATTTATCACAATTAAAGAAAAAAAATCAGGCAACAAAGAAGCAGATGCATACCTCCATTGTCATTATTGAATCGCTCCCATGACCTATTAGGGAAGATACCATGGGTCACATAGGCACTGACTCTCTCTGCCCCATGAGCAGCCAATACTTTCTAAGAAATGATGAAGAACACATGAATTATGACTCCAAGAATCATTAAACGAAGATGATAACATGCAGTTCTTTACTTAATAAAAAAAAGCCTTAGAGAGTTATACTAGCTAATAGAAACGAGAGAAGAAATGAATAAACTTTAACTAGCAAAGGAAAGATCTTCCACACCTGGCATTCAATCAGAGTACCACCTGATTGCACCAAGTCATCAACTATAACAACATGACGGCCTCTAGGATCACCCTCTTTTAGACGTACAATTCGTTGATCACCTTCCCTAACTTTGTTGCAAATAATCTGGATTTGAAGTATTAAGCCACTAATCAACTGAATATGACATGAGACACTAGTGCAATACGATGATCATTACACATTACCATTGGAAAATGTTGAAGTTGCTTATGGAATCGCTTCCATGCACCATCATCTGGAAAAGCAATAGATATCTGAAAGGGACATAACAGAAATTTTACATGTGGCACTCCCAACTGATGTCTTGCAAAACTTCAATAAGAAACAACTTATTTTGCTATTTCATCAGAGGGTACACAACCGATGAATCTACAACAACAGAGAGCAAAACTAATAAGAAATCTCCATTTTAAGATATGAGTGCCTCAAGCAAAAAAAAGAAAAAGAACACTTACAACAAATTTGAACCATTAATCTTACAACAGAGGAAGCTTAAAAAATTACAGCCTGATTCTGATAGAGAAATATACCGAGTCACAATCTGTCTAGAATCCATTAGAACCAAATGCAGTCTGACTTGACTCACATCCAAGATAATAAATAAACAAAGATCAGGGTTCACAGTGGATAATTTGCTAGAGAAATTGATCACTCACATTTTCAGAATCTGGTAGTTGCTGAAGTCTATTCTTTAGCAAAGGCACCCCACTCTCAAAGCATGGCAAGACGGAGTCTCCAAAGTAGAATCTCTCCTATCATACAAGATTTAGAGAAAAAAGCATGAAGTTTAACCCAACAAATATGGAGAACAAATTACAAACAAGTATAAGAGGGTAGACTACAAACCTGCAGGGCATGAATGTCAAAAATGACCAAACTAGTTGGTCCACCTCTTGATATTGGAATGTTTGACAAAGTTCTAGCAAGGGTAAAAGCTGTTGCAACATCCCCTTCATCTTCCATACGTTCATAAGATCCAGTTGGAAAAAAGGGAAGAACAAGTGTAAATGAGGAGATAAACAACCTTGGCAACGCAAAGATGACAGACAGCTGCTCAAAAATTACTCCAGGAGAGCTAAATGAGGCCAAGAATGCTACATGTTGCCCACGAATGCCATGAGCATTTGGGATGAATAAATTTGGGAAACCATCCTCAAATTTCCTGAAACATGGAAATTACTAGACTCTATCAACACAACAAATAAATTCAACTTTGTCAACCAGTTAAAAATGTCAAAATGAATCATAAATATCATACAAACATTTGAGGCACTTTCGGCTTCTATATCAAAATGCATATCACATTTGAGGCACAATTTAACTAGGTCCTGGCTGAGGGAAGGGTCCAAGGTTGAGGCACATTGTAAAAATTCCGTCCTTGAGGTCCACTTTGTCCCCGATTTGGATGACCAACATAATGCAGCAAGGTTGTCGCTAGTTTTGAGTAATTGTACAGCGGCTACCCCTGTTATTACCTCAAATGAAGAACTAACATTCTCAATATGGTACTGTAGATGTACCCTCGGCTCATCTTGCAGACGAATAAAAGAAAACAACCATCCATTATTTGAAAATTCAACAGAAGATAAAAGAAGATATACAATCTCATTATTTCCTTTCACACATAAATCAACCTAATTTTCATCCTGGAAATAAATTGATTTCAAGAAGAAGAAACGCCGAAGAAAAGAACTTTAATTGATTCACTATCAGCGCATCTTGGGGATTAAATCTAAATTTTCTCCATCTTCATGTGGACATTTCAATTCGACAACAAGCAAAGAAGAGAGAGAGGGGGCACCTCCAAGAGATGCTACGCAGATAGATGGAGTCGCTCTCCAAGGCAACGCGCTCGGCGAGCTCCCTCATCTCCTCGCAGTAGAAGAGGCAAACGCTCTTCTTGTACCTCTTCGGAGGCAGCGCAACGGAGGAGGCAACCGCCGGGGACGCCGCCATAAGAGGGGAGATCCGTGGGATGTGGTGAAGACCCGCGCCTCTATCGGCAAACCCTGGATCATCGCTCGTCGCCGACTCCGTCGTCATCTCTGACCGAATAGGAAGTACCCCAGTCCTTCCGTCATCATTCCGCTGGGAATCACAGAGGAAAGAAGACAGTGCTCGTCTCCCGAATATGGCCGATTTGGGCTTGACGATGAGTGTCGCCGAAGCCGCTGTTTCCTGTTGATGTGGTAGGCGAGGGTTGCCAGGGCGGTAGTATAGGTTGGGGGAGGAAACCGCTCCCGCCGCCGCCGCTGCAATCGCCATCGGTCAACTCCGGTTCCGGTTGCGGCTTTCGCGGCGGGGGTTTTCAGGGCGGCGAAGTCAGGTGTAGGGTTGAGCGCGATCGATTTGGAGGCGGCCCGCTTCCTCACGCGCCACGTTGAGCCCATTCGTAACCATCAATGATATGCGACATGTAGTCATATATGTCGAGATTTATTGTAATCTATTCCTAATTTAAATGTTTATATCGACACAAATGCCAGAAAAAAAAAAAAAAAAACTTAAGCGAGTAATTCTTCCACATTTGATAAGCTTCACAAAAAAAATAAGTATACATATAAGTAAATATAAATAAAATTTTATCTTATGTTTTAAATTTGTTTCTTAAATAAATCTTTTTATAAATGCTCATCTTATTCTTGTCGGCCACTACCATTCATCTAGTTGATTACCTCCCCTCCACTTTCTCTTTCCATTCCATCATATCGATTGTCCTTCCTTAGTTGTTACGTCTTCATGTATAGGCTAGTCTCATTGGCTATGCTTGTACCTTTGCGAACGAGTTGACTCTACGATCAATCCTCTTTATACATATAAGATCCTTGAGATTCAGTGATGACAACTGGGGCTGACATGAGTGCTCATGTCTATGATGCCCTTAAGTCTAACGAGAGTGTAGGGACAATCGTGATGGTATAAGGTAAGAGATGATAATGGATTTAAAGAAGACAAGAGTAAATTGATCTGGTGAGACACACTCTAGTAAAATTTTTTAAAATTGAGATGCTTTATAGAAAATTCATATATATTCTTACAACATTCTAATGATAAAGCCCATATGATGAGCGTAAGTTATGAGGCAGAGGTAGATATGGACCGGCCCAAAATGGGGTGATAAGGCCCGACCTATTTATATTTGCTTTCGATGTAGTCCATATTATTTGGTGAAACCAATTCGAATTCGTTAAGTTGCAAAGATAGTGTTTGTGTCTTCCTTCAATAGACTGGTCGGCCCTTCAAAGTTGGAAGAATTGTGTGAGAGAGTGCTGCATTTTCGATGCGAATAAGATTCTCTTCGTTGTAATTAGATGAGCACCCTTCATGTAGATTCGATTAAGGTGTTCTACTTTTTGATACGGTTTGGAAGGTGTTCTACTTTTTGATACGGTTTGGAATTAGATTCGAACCAAATTTGAACAAGGTATTCTGCTTCTTAACACAGTTTCGAAGGAGTTGGAACTATATTTGAACCAAATTTAAACAAGGCATTCATCACATGTTCGGTGCTGGATCCCTTCCGCAACCAACAACCGTGTCCTGCACCTTCATGGTTTACGATTGGTATGGAACTTTGACGATGTAAATTATGTCTATTCTGATTCTCTAGCATAGGCCAATATGATGATCTTGATCAATGGGATGCGACCTCTAAAGATATTTGTCTTATGCTGAATAAAAACGTGAACATGTAGCACAATGGAAAAGCATGGTTTTGGGTCATTAGGATGACTACAGAGTTGTATGTGACGTAACCCGACGAGATAACTGATCTATTAATTTTGTTGAGCTTAAATCATTAACTTAAAATATTTAAATTGAAGTTAACAGTAATAATACACTCGTCAATCTAAATCACTAACTAATCAAAATATTACAATCTCCCCCAATTTAATAATAGAATAATAATAATAATAATTATTGAATAGTAATCAGTGAAAAAAAAACTCATATGATAACTGTAATAAATCATGAAGGGTCTTTAATAAATATTATTTCATAATTTAAAATATATATATATATATATATATATATATAACTAAATAAATATCTAAAAAGGATTTTATTTACCATATGTAATCAATAAATCATATGAAAAAATTATAAAAGAAACATTAATTTATATATTTTTATTTCTACATAAAATATTAAATTAAATGAATCGATTTTATTTAATTTGGACAGAGTTAAACATCAACCCAATAAAACAAGTCAATCAAAATAAAAAAAATTGATCAAAATTTGATCAAAATTAAATTCAATCAATAACTTGTCAAAATATAATCATGATCAAATTTAATTAAATTATATTGATCAATTTTATAATTGACGATATAAATCAGAAATTCATAATTTTGGTAAAACAATAAATTTGTTAACATGACAGAAACTGAAATTATGAGATTGGTACAGGGCAGAACTGTCAAAAATATTAAAACAGAATTAATAGAGGTTACAGGGGTAAAGATGTAATTCTGTTAAAAAAATGTATAAGGGGCGTCTGCCTGCCGGCTGCTGCCGCCCCTGCGCGCGGGCGGGCGCCGCCAGGGCGGCCACTGCCTGCGGCCGGTTACCGCCTGTGCGACCGCCGCCTGGGCGCTGCCTCTGCCCGCGCGAGGCTGCCGCTTAGACGCGGCTGCTGCCCGCGCGCTGCCGCCGCCTGTGCGCGGCTGCTGCCTGGACGCGGCCTCTACCCGCGCGCGGCCGCCTCTATGCGGTCGTCGCGTGTGCGCGCTGCCGCCTGTGCGGCTGCCGCGATGCGCGTCCAGCCCGGCGCACGACCCGCGGTCAATCGCGGCGTACGGCTCGCCGCGGGCGGTCGCTGTTGCTGCTGCGGTGTGCATGCGCTGCCGCCAGCAGATCCTCTCTAGCGGCCGGACGCAGCGAGGTTGCTGCGACTGCCATTGGCAGCGGTGCTGCACAGCGACCGTCACTCCTTCACGATCATAAAAAATCGCGTTACAAAGAATCTAACATCGTCGGCAAGTAGGCAACGAGACGGAGTAGATAGGAATTTAGATCGACAAAATATACGGATCATTGAAGCATCATAAACAAAAATAATAGATCTAATGTATTTGATCTCAAGAATCTATGCTTTGATACAAATTGAATGCATAAAATATGTAATATGCTATAAATTATACGAAAAACTTTCATGCTAGGTTGAAATCAAATAACATTAAATCAGATTTACGATGTGTATCTTTTGATGCCATATGAAAAGATCTATGTTTGATCTGTAAAGGCACTATCCTTTGGATCCGAGTATCATAGTAATGTCGATCTGCAAGGAAAACTATACACTCCTTTTCTCTTCCTATCTTTTCATAGGCCCACTGTTATTGAGGTTGAGAGAAAAACCGTAATCACTCAACTGCGTCCTCTATAACATACGTCATTTAGTTCTTAGATGTCCTGTTTATTTATAGGTGAGAGCAAAGGGTCTAGGGTAAGTTATTGAGAGAGTTTCTTCCATCAAGGGCATCCTCTAAGAAATCATACTATAATATGAACTTTTCTTCTATTGACCAATATCTGTCATCAGAATCTAATTAGTTCTATTATATATTTTATTCAATTATAAAGGGCCACATAATCTAATAGGTGGTTGAAAACATTATAGTTTTTGTATTTTCTCAGCTTTCTTATTTCTCTTGGGCTATTTTTATGCTTCACAGCCTGGTAGCTATCCATGTATAATGTAATTGGATATTTCAAGTAGCCATCTTATAGGTCGATAACTTTAGTGACTACATAGATCATCAGATGGTAATCAAACAACAAAAGACTTTAAAGGAAGGGAAGCTATCTACAGTTCCACACACTATATTTTAATTCATATGTTGCTTCTTTTCAGCATGTTCAATTATCTGTCTAGAGTATCTTGGGGTTGTGGTGGGTTGGTTGTTTTAGCGTTCATATGTTTCTCTAGTTATATACATGGAGCAAACTTTGTCAATAGAAGTTCTATTGATCTTTACAGACTTGTGCTTTACTGACTGCCTTCTTGATGTCTCACCTGAATTTTTATTGTTGTTGTATTGCTTGGTTTTATTACTATAAAAAAATTGCTTGTTAACTTAATTCTTTTTTTATACTTTCCACAGGGAGTGTTTCTGGTCAAGAATATTCTTGACCAGAGCAACTTATTTCCAAAGAAGAAGAGCTATTTTTTTGCTCACCTTCCAAGATTTCTGTCTTATGTTTGATTAACAATCATCTCTTGTTGATCATCTTTGTTGTTCATTATGGTACAAACTACAAAGTTCCTAACTTCATAGCCATTCACACCACTTGGGAATTATATTATAAATTTATTACTCCGGTGGACTTGTATTTTCTAGTATTGTTTAGGTAGTTGAATGGCTATTATTCTTGAGTTTGCAAACTCCAAGAAAAGCACATGAGTTGAAGGTCTACAATCTACTAATGCAAGTTGAAGTGTAACTTGTATCTGATATGCTATCCAAGTGATCTATTCAACCAAACAACAATAATATCAAGACAGAGAAGGAATTTTAGCAGACACTATGCACTCAGCTGGAAATTTTAGTACAATATTGAATGCTCAACATCTTGAAGGAAATACCACACTTAGACTACTTTAACTTGAAGGTTCTGTTATCTCTTAACACTAAGAGTGCTTGTTGAACTTAAATAGTAAAGCACATAATTAAACAGATAAAGCAGACACTATGCACTCAGCTGGAAATTTTACTAAAATACTGAATGCTCAACATCTTGAAGGTGGTACCACACTTAGACTATTTTAACTAAGAGTACTTGTTGAATTTAAATAGTAAAGTACATAATTAAACAGATAAAGCCACTAGATCTGCCATACTAACATATAATACAGTCTAAAGAAAATCCATCATTACATCCCAAAACATGCTCCAAGTTCATCAGCTGATGCATTTGTTTTATGGTGGTGGCAATGTCTTTGAGTGGGAAGACTTCCCTGTGATCACTTTCTTAACTTTTGCAATTGACCGTTTGACCTTTGATCCAACACCTGATAAAATGTTATGAGATTTCTTATGTGCTGGCTTCAGCACTGCATCTCGGGCTTCCACAGGAACTGCTGAATCATGGCTAGACTCCATTATTTTATGGTCATCTTCATCTTCCTTCTCATCATTTTCTTCATCAGTTTTATCATCATCCAATTGGGTGTCTGTTGTCTTGTTAGTTTGCCTTTCATCCATGAGAACTTTTGGGCTTATTTCCTCCTTGAACTTTTCCTCCTGAACAACTTTATCAGTAGATTTCACAAAGGTATCTAATTTCTGGACCTCATGTGAGTCAATTGACATGTATTGTTCATTTAGATCACTTTTCACATTTTGAATTCGAAGTTCATTTATTGCATCTTGATCCTCTCTGCTTGACTCAATTTTTACACCTTTGGACTGAATCTTTGTACCTTCTATTGTATTATCTATGATCAAAGAGTCGTACTTCCCAATTTCATCAGTTTGAAGATTCAGTTGACTTTGTTCACCATTATCCAAAATCTTTGCATCCTCATCTGGTTCAGATGTGAAAGCTAGTTGTTCATGTAACAGTGCATTGGAATCTTGGTCTATCTTTTCAACTCCCTTAAAAATTCTCATGTCTTCTATTCCACCTTCTTTTGAAAAAATATCCATTTTGTTCTCCTTGTTCTCGTGCATTGGGATTCCGCTGGTCTTTCCAATAATGCTTGTCTGAATCTTCTCATCATGATGCAAAGAATCTGCTTTTGAGAAGTCCTCGTATACATTTCCGCCCACTTTTGATGCTGGCGAATCATCATTAGTATTTCTTTCTGGCCTGTCATCCTCCGTTATAATCAACTCTTTTGTATTATTTCCAATAACATTGTCATGGCTGCATTCTAGCATTAGACCTGAACTGTCTTCAAATTTTTTACCAACTTTGTCTTCCTTTGTGCTTGTATCTTCTCTGACATGTTCAGTTGACCGTGAGACCAAAATGCTATCTTGTTTTGGGATGCTGGTGTCATGGCTTTGAACAGAGATGTTCTCTTCTACCTTAGCTTCAGCCTCCACACCACCAAGCTTGGCACGTTTACCTTGCAAGATTCCTTCCATCAAATGTGACACAGGCAAATCATCATGGTCAATTAGTTCATACTCCTCACTTTTTGATCTATTCAAGCCTGCAACTTCACAACTTGGTCCTTCTGCTTCTTCCAATCTATCCTTTTCATCTTCTAATATGCTTGTTTCTGTTGCTTGTGTGGTGGATAAGTTTCCTAAAAGTTCCTTATTCTCTCTGAATTCCACTGAATGGTCATCCTTTTCGGCAATGCTTACATCAGATTCTGACTTCAAAGTTTCTTCTAGATTCACCCTATCGTCTTGGTCTCTGGTTACAATGGCCTCAGATGGCAACAGAGAGATGGAGGTTTCATCATGACACTTTTCACCTGTCTCATTTATACCAACATCATTTGCAGCTTCTACATGCATTGCTTGGGTCTCAATATTCCCCTCAGTGGATTCTCTGAACAAAAACTCAGAAACTTCATCAAGATCCTTGTCTCCATATTTTATGACTTCTCCATCTGTCTCAATTATGACAAATGAACCATTCCTTTCTTCCTCATCTATTAATGTTGTGGTTCCTCTCTTCTCTGATGGATCCATGATAATGGGACCTTGATCTGATGAGATGTTGTCAGATTTGTTGATCTGCAAGAAAAAAACTTTATTAGTTCTAAAAATCTGGATGTGAAAAGAAAGAAAAAGAGACAGAGGAGTAGTGTGTTCTTTTTCGGTATGCCAAAATCTAACCATTTTCTTCTGGCTCTGTTGTGGTATAGTAACAGATCTCTTAGCCTCCAACATATCCTTTGGCTCCATATCATTTGATTCATCGTTGTTTTCCTTAACATGTTCACTAGCTGCATCTTTTACACCAGAAACTTCAGGTTCTGGAACATTATTGTCGTCAGGTATGATATTCTCATTTTCTACAATTGGATATTCTATCTTCAATCCGTCAACCTCCTCGTCTGATTGTTGTTGAAGCTTCATGACTTTTCTTGGATAATCCTGAAAATTCAAACCTGATATTTCATTTTGCCCTGATCCTCTCACATCTTGTGAGACAAAATTTTCAGAAGTTTCTGTCTCCTTAAGGGATTTAAAATCCAGTGTTTCCATTTGTGGAAGAAATTTTGCCACATTTTTCATTTCTTCATGAAATTCAGCAGTGATGCATGGGTCATCAACCATCTTTCTGTGATTGTCTTCTATTGTCATATCTGAATCCACTATTTTCGTGATCTGCTTTAAGAAACTTAGTTAGTAGGAGCTCTAATGCTTGCATGTTTATAAATGAGAAAAGCGTGTTAGATTTCTAGAAATTTGTTTAGCATTGTGTCTTTTGAATAAGAAAATGTTTAATAAAACTGTAGACAAGGTAAATGTTACCTGTTCTTGAGGACTTAAATTATCTGTTGCATCACAAGCATGAATTTGCTCATTAGAACTGAATGGTCCCACTTCCTCAACTGCTTTACGAGCCCTATCCTTATTTTTCTCAAATTTTTCTTCGAGGTCTGCACGATTTAGTTGTTCTCCTTGTCTTTGTTCATCAGTACATGTATCTTTATCTGCTATTTCAAGCTCATCTGGAACCATATAAATGGGGTTTTTGGCTTCCACATCCTCCAACTTCTGACTTTCTGAAACACTTTTTACAGTGGTTTTTTCTTTGATATTTTCCTCGTTATACTCACTGGTAGTGGCTGCTTCATAAACTTTCATGTCTGGTTGTATATTATCTTCCTCTTTGTCTTCATCTTCCTCTGATTCTAATCTTGTTTCATCTTCCTGGTCCTCATTATTTTCTGCGTCCATTACTGACTTATTTTCCTTGTTAATCTCATCCATTGCATAAAAAATGTTGAGGACATTTTCAGTTTCCACATCCTTCATGCTTTCAACCTGTGAGCCACTTTCTTTAATTTTCTTCTCTTGTGTTCTGTCCTCAATGCACTCATTTGTGTAGATTTTCCCAGAAACTTTCACCTCAGGAGGGTTTAAATAATTTCTTTCCTCTTCCTCGTTTTTTGTTTTGTTAGATGGCAAGCACTTGTCAACTTCCTGCTCTTTTCTGTTTTCATTCTCCAACAAAGCTGTTTCCTTTGTTTCATTATCTTCTCTTGAAACATTTTGATGAGCTTCGGAAGTTACTTCAGCGATGTTTATCTGAATGGTATTCATATCTGAAGCTTCCATTGTACATAAAGAATCTTCTCTTGTATCAGAAATGTTTTCATCACAAGATGGCTCGACTTCAACAAGTCCTGTCTCAGTTGTTGTCTCTAACTTTCCATGTGCTGAAGATTCAGTGTGTTTAAACTGCATTAAAAAATATACCACCTGAGATGTTAATAATGTGATGTGACAGACAAATGTAAAGAGTAGGAACACTCCAAAACTGATGCCTACATTGGCATGTTGCAATTCAACCTTTTCATCAATGTTTTTGACTGCTTCCTGATCTTTTGTAGTTTTTCTTACTACATGCTGACTTGTAGTGGTTAATTCAGATTCTGTAGCTTGAAACTCCATTTTCTGTGTCATTCTGCAATCCTGCCCAGAACATTGAAATATTAACTGTTACATGAGTGGTATACTATAACAAAGGGAAATGTTAGAATAATTATTTCAAAAGGCTGCTCCGTTCTTTTCCTTTGCACTAAGTTGGTCCAATTTTAATGCTACCACTACATACATTTTTAGCATGACTTACATCATCTTGTGCTATCACAACTTTAGCAGGATCTGTTTCAGTTATAGCTTCCAAATTTTGCTGTACAGAAGTTAAATTGAAGGAAGCCTGTGTAACAAGGTTAACATGAAAACAATGATGAGGCAAAGGATGACTTAAAAGGAAGAGAATGAACTGATTTCTAGGTTCTTATCAAAGCAACCTCCTGCTTTATATTCTCATTCCCCATTGCTATGTCTTCTTTGATCTCTGGTTTTCTCTGGCTTTGTAGCCTTTTGGATTCTGCTTCATCAGTCAGTCAATGTACCCTTAGCAGGTTTATCACTTAAAATGTCATTTATGCTCTCCCAGTTGTCATTGGTCACACTATGATCTGCATCCTTCTGAAGTATGATTTTCAGATTTTGCAACAGAATTAGTGACCATTTTGTGCTAAAAGAAAACAACTATCTCTTTGGACCAGTTTGGATGATAAAATCTCTTATGTTAATACTAGTTCCCCTTTGACAATTATGCAATAATGAAAGGGCATATGGAACAAGGTAAAGGTCAACTTGGCCTTTTTAATAAAGATTCAATGCTATGTAAAAGTCGATGATACTTTTGCACAAGCTGGATGTTATGCTTACAAGTAACCATTAGTCTAGAACAGTAATTTTTAATTGCTGAACAATTCAACTTATCAGTAATTTGTAATTGCTGAACAATTCAACTTGAACCACAAGAGACAAAGACTATCTATCATGAGGTAGTGAAAAAGAAAAAAAAAAAGAAAAGCAAGGCAGCCCAGTGCAAGTGACACATCAATGCGGGTCTAAAAGGGTTAGTGTAAAGTTGTAAACCATCTCACCTTTTCAGGCAGAAGGGTTGTTTCTATAACTTAAAACCCTAGTCACCTAGTTTTAAGAGCAACATGGCCAGTGATGCCAAGGCTCACCCTTATATACAATGAAGTTGTACTATTTTCATTATGTCAGGTCTAAGAAAATTTTTGCAGAGCGGCCAAAGACTATACTGATATTGACTTACCATGAAAATCTAATTTGTTCAAGTTTATTACATTCTAGGAGTAAACAGGTAGAGGACACCAAATTGATAGTAATATGTTGAAAGAGATATATAGTCAATTTCTCAACTTTGATGAGCCTCTTTTTATATATTCTTATGTAGAAGGAAATAAGTGGATGCCACCTTTTTTTGTCAAAAGTTGTAGGGAGAGAGAACTCTCATCTGCTAAGAGTTACGTCTTGTATGTTATGCCTTTCTCCTTTTTTTTTAATTGACTGGTTAGAAACTTAGAATGCTGATTATAGATTTTTCTCAAAAAAAGAATGCTACTTGTAGATAGGGTCTTTATAAATAGAAATGAAGGCAAGATTAAAGATTGAGAGTTTATCGCGAAAAACTGATAGAATTATAGTTTTATTCTCTTACAGATTACCTGGTTTTCCAGCCATAAATATGGCTTTGCTTATGTAGGGGTGTCAAATATAAGAAGTCTGCATGAGAGGGTTGACAAATTTCATGACTGACTATCAACTTACATTAATGCTTCATGGTATCAAATTCTTAGCCTAGGCAATTTTACACTATGGAAGAATGCAGAAAATACCAGTAGGTGAGTTTTACTCATGTATTGAGTGAGACCCTCCACAATGAAACCAAAAGTAGAGGAAATGACAAACTTTTCTTTGGAAGTTGTATTTCATTTCAGAGTGATGATTAAGTTTAACACAAACCATGAAAATGAATTTCAGCAATATTATTTAGTAATGCTCTTGATACCTTTTCATCTTTTTTATCAGGATTGTCACTCAAATGTGCGACGCCAATTCCAACTTGTGCTTCTTCCTGGGGTGTACATACTCCAGCCTTTTCCTGAAGGCTTTTCTCTTGCTCCTTTGTAGGGTCCTTTTGTTCGGTAAGTTCTCTAGTGGAAGCATTTACTTCAGCCGAGATGGTTCTGTCAAGGACCTCAGCCGTGTCATTCTTGATGACATTTTGTGGAAATTGCTTAGTTGTATTTTCTAGAAAGATCTCACTATCCATATCTTCTTTAATAGTTTCTTCCTGTTGATTCAATTCATTTTTCTTATTGAGCTCTTCACCTTCCTTTTGCTCCTCGATAGAGGTACCTTCTACCATCATTAAAGAATCTTCCTGTTGATTCAATTCATTTTTCTTATTGATCTCTTCACCTTCCTTTTGCTCCTCAATAGAAGTACCTTCTACCATCAACTTGTTTGTCTGTTCATCATTAGAAACAACACATTCCATACCTTTGTTAGCTTCTACTTTTTCATGTTTATCCTCTAGATCTGCATCAAGAGATTCTTGTGGACTAGATGCTTTTCCAGTTGTTTTTTCCAAAGGGGTTTGTGTGGAGCATAAAGAACCAACTATTCTATCCATGTTCACATTGTCTAGTGAGTTAACAACATCTGTAATTTCTGTATCAGCAATCGCCTCATGATTCTGTTCTCCTGAAAATGCTTTATAAAGCTCTTCCACACTCCTCGACACTAGATGTTGTTCAATTAGATCCATATTTTCACTTACTGAATCATTACCATCCTCATGCATCTCATTTCTAATCTGCACAGTTTCTTCAATAAACTTTTTGGGCATTAGTGAAGTACCAATGTTCTTGTCCAAGTTTGCAGCTTGTTCATTCTTCTGGATAAAGCTGTCCATGACCATTTCGTACTTATTGGAATCATCCTCCATGTTATTTTCTAGAATGTTGTCATCCTTTGCTTTTGCAGTTTCTTGGTCATTCTCTCTGTCGTGGATCTCATAGACCTGATAAAAAAATGTCAGATCACTAGTAGGTTAGGATGCATGTTTAAGGAATCAGTTTCACATTGCTAACTGAACAATTTTCTAAATTAAACTTATTATGGAGATCAATATTGCCCAGAGGAAGATAAGGAACAGCGGATCATGTTGTTGAGGTTATCATCATTTGCTTAGTCACGAATCTTCCTCGCTGCTGATTTGCTAGCTGATTGTTGAATCTGGTTCTCAAGAACTGATTCAGGTAAAAATATAAGCTTATCACACTCCAATTTTGTTTTGTTGGCATAATCTTTCTTGTAGTCTTTGCAGTGTTCTGTTTGGTTAAACTGTTCTTCAGAAAAAAGAAATATTGGAGATTTCATGCTTTTCACAAACTTCTTCGGGAATATCACCAATGTTCTTTTGTATACTTTCCTCATCCGTCATTATGGCAGTTCGACATTTATCACATTATCAATTAATGATGAAAGAGGACAACACATGCTAAAATTGGCCTTGCCATATGCTGACACCTCTGCCTTATTATGGTGTGGTGTGTGCGGGTCTTTTGGCACAGAAATTCAATATATTTAACACGCATGATGGCACGACAATCATCATTTTAAAGTAATCTGCTTAAGCTCTATTGCTTTATACTAAACAATTTGTAAAGTTCAAAACCGTGAATTTGACATGAGCTAACCTGAGTCGTGTCATCTTTTCTTAAGTTGTCTAGGTCAATCTCTTCTGATTTATAATTGCATTCTTCCTTCACTGAGTTTGAAATGAAAAGCTTCTCAGCCTCTGCACTTCCCTTGTATGTGTCAATGTCTATATTGTCCTGGGTTGTGGTTGTTTGATGAATTAGTTCTTCAGCCACACAGTTTAGTTTTTCTTCAGTTTCTTTAGCCACTTGATCATGTATGCTCTGCAAAACTGGGATATCACTAGTTGGAGCTGCTTCTACATTCTGTTCCAGGTTACCTCCGTCCATCACCTTTGTAGTTTCGTTGTCATGATAAATACTTGCCATTTCAGGAACCTACTTAAAAAATGAGACATCAGATAATCGTAGTAAGTTCCAAGAATTAATTCTGGAAGATACATGGAATTGTCGATTTATCTGTTTACAATCTTGTTCTTGGAATATAATAGAAAGAATGATGTTGAGAAAAGTAAACAAATAAATTAATTAAATCATCTTTATTTTTTGAATTCTCTATCCTGGAGGCTTCTATTTTTCTGTGTGTTTTGACTCTTTATCTTCAAATTGTGGTTTCTAAACTGAGTGAAGCTTCTAAGATTTCTCTTTTACATAGTTATCTTTGATGCTGATTTGTATTTCAGATGGACAGGTGGGATCTTCATGATTATTGCCCATTTCATTCATGTTACTGCTAAAAGTTCAAATTATTTGCAACTTCTCATCAGGGGTTTCTGTTCTATGTGAAGTCATTTTCAAACACTAATCATTCATGTTTGTGTACAAGAGAACAGGGACACTATTATGTGATTATATATATGTTAATAATTACCAAAATGTTATCGATTGACATCCATTTCTCTCATCATTCAGATGTAAACAAGCTGGCTAGGCTAATTACAGGATCCCATATATGTTTATGTCTGAATAAAATGGATTATGATTGAATAAAAAGTTAAATAGAAAATAATAGAGTTAGTGGTTGCATGATGATGGGGTTATCCTTCTATGAATTGAATTTTGTTCATATTTCTCTTTCTTTCTTTCTTTCTTTTCCTTTTCATATTTCATGAATTATTTGCTTTTGTTAAATATGCATGAGAAGAATTATATATTGCAAAATGATTCATTGTTCACCTTTTCATCTTCAAAATCTGGTATGCTGCTTGGATCTTCAGTGTTTGTCCTGGTTACTTCTCTCTCAGATGTTAGAACTGCTTCATCTACTTGACGTAGCTCTGATTTCTCTGAATGTTCCTTTTCAGCAGCAGCAGCAACTTCTAAAATGGATGTACCAATTTCATACTTGAGTATTTTATCTGGGATCTCAATGGAGGAAACTTCTACGTTTGCTTTGCACACTTCTTTCTCTTGGACGTCATCTAGGGTTTGATCAGTTGGAGTTTCATCACAGGTCTTCATCTGCATATTTTCCTCAGAAGCTTGCTTCTCCTGTTTCAGTTCATTGTCTTCATCATGTTTCTTTTTCTCTTCATCCAAATTCATCCTTGCTCCTGCCTCATCTGTTTCATCTTCCAAAGCAATCATTATCTTGCTTCTGTTATTTTCTGTTTCTTCATTCTGATTCTGATTCTTTTGTGTATATTTGTCATCAGCCTTATCTTGGTCATTTACTTCCTCATTCTGTGTGTGGAATATTTGCACATCAGACTTAACAGTATGAAGCTCCATTTCATTCAGAGCAACTTTTTCCTGGAACTGATCTGTTTTCGGCACCAGTTCAAATATCTCCTGAAGTTTTTCAGAATTTCTTTCTTCCGTTGTTGAATCTTCCTGTTTTGGTAACTGCAAATAATAAGAAGCATCAGAGTTGCTAACATCACTTTTCTCCACTTTCTGAATCGCATTTTCCTTTTTATTTTCTGTGTGTGTGATTTCTTGATCCTGAAAAGTTTTGTCTTCAGCAGTTGGTACTGGATGAGACTCATCTACAGACACTGCTCTAGGTATGTTGTCTCTTGTATTAACTGATTCTGCGACCTGGCAGTCTCCTTCCAAGTTCTCTTTTTCGTGTAAAACTTCAATTGTATCTTTCTCATCCTCACCTTTATCCAGGTTACTGTCTTGAATGTCACCTTCTGTTGGAAGACTATTCTCTTCATGTGGCATACTGCAAGTTCCTTCTTCATATTTGGTCATCACCTGGTCCTTCTGAATGATTGGAGCCTCTGTGTCTGCCAAGATGTCGATATTTCCCTGGCTGACTTGTGGTTGTTCTATTCTAGATTCTTTGTTTTCTATGATTTCACTTGCATCAACTATTTCAGGGCTAAGATTAGCATGATTTTCTGAGTTCTCAGACATTATTAATTCGCTAGTCCCCTTGTGAGTTATAGATTGGTGTACTACTTCTGAGATTGATTCAAGTTTCTGGCATGACTCTTCTACTGTGCTGTCTTTGCATTCAGAGTCCAGGACTATTTCTTGGTTATTGTTTGCACCTTGTATGTATTGCCCAACCAACTGATCTGTGTCAGGTACATCACTAATGCTATTGTTCATATCTTCATCATTTTCTCTTGTGGGTTCCTTGTGGTCGTTTACATGAACGGCATCAGATATCTGCTTGAAAGATAATATCTTTACTAAAAAATCCAGTGGAAGTCATATGTTTAATATACTTATTAGTGGCCAATCTTTAACAGAGAGAAAGCTTGAAGTTAATAATATTTGACTTTTTTAATAAAAATTCAGTGCTATGTAACACTTGATGGCACTAGAATATGCTGGATTTAATGCTTGTCCAAGTAACTAGATCAATAGTTTAGACTATAAGAGTTGCTAAATAGTATGATCTGAACTGTAAGGAACAAAGTCCAAAGAGTAAATCATTTTAAAATCAATCTATGTATCATGAGATAGTACTTTCAAGTATTCATCATGTCAGTTTGAATAAGATTTCTAAGCCAAGCAGTCAACGACTATACTGGTGCAAAATTACTTCTTAGTAAGAAATGTATTTTGTCAATGATTGCAATGTGCTATGCAATTGTAAGAAATTCAGGGCAAAGCAGTAGAGGGCCTAGTGGCTACCAGATAGATATCTATAGATTGAGATAAAAAGTCAATTGGTTATCTTTGATGAGCTTATTTCTATTTTTCCTTTAAATGGAAACCGGTGGCAGACAATCCTGCAAGAATATGGGGTTCTCTTGTTGATAATGTCTTTCTTGTATTTTCTGATCCAAGTCTGCTAAGAATGCTGCTTACATATAGGGGCTGCATAAATATCAAAGAAGGATGCAAAATCGAAAAATTAACAAAGAAAAGCTTTTGAATTACAGTTTCATTCTGTTGTTTATTTTCTGGTTCTTAATCATTATTGTGGTACTTCCCGTAAAGAGCAAAGCAAAATTGAGAGTTGTTTATGGATATGATTGATGAAGTCATATGTCAGACTGCAAACTTGAACTTTGTCCTCGTTTCTGATTTCTTAGTCTGATCAAGTTAGGCAATGGAGGGATGCATAAGATGGCTGTAGGTAAGTTTAGCTCATATATTGAGTAAGGGACCCTCCAAAATCCAACTAAAAGAAGAAGGAAATGACAAGCTTGCATAAGGAACTGTATTCATCTTAAAAGGAATGGTAGGAAAGAAACAAACTTTAAAAGATAAATTTAAGGTTATTTATAATGGCATCTTGGTACCTTTGCATCTTCATTCTTGGTATCACTACTTGCTTCTGCAATACTAGTTCCAGCTGGTGCTTCCTCTTGGGGTATTTCAGTCTTTTTTTGTAATTTTTCTCCTTGCTCTTCAGAAAGATCCTTTCCTTCAACAAGTTCTCCAGCAAAAGCATTTACTTCGGCAAGAATGGTCGCCTCAAGGACATCAG